GTCTTCTGCTGTCTGGATTCCCAATGAGGTTCTGATCTCCTGAGTTCCCACCATAACTGCCAGTTAAGATAAGCATACAACACTTCAAAACTCTGTACCTGCTCTTCCAAAGTCTTCAAATTTCCCCCACAACCACTTCCAAAGGCCTGAAGACCACATCATCAGGGTTAGCAACAGCAAACACTCTGCTCAGCCCACGTTCTCATTGTCACGAACAGGTGGATGGCAACAAAAGGGAAGGGATTACTCATGACAGTTCATGGTTTCTGAAGGCTCAGGCCATGGTCACTTTGTCCTTGGACAGAGCATCATCATGGCAGGAGGGTGCAATGAGGAACTTGACCTCACAGCAGGCCTCCAAAGTAGGACCAGCAGCTGGGGACCAAGAGACCGATATAATGGGGAAAATTTCATAGTCAAACCACGGTAGGAGGCAGTCAGCCTTGCTCATCACAAGGAGACAGGCTTCTGCCATGGAAAAGGATGAGGGCCAATGTCTAGGACTCAGAGGCTTGGGCATCTGAGCTTCTGATTCTACTTATAACCCTACATGTGCAAATAGCCATGGCCCAACAGGAATACAGAAACCGTTCTGACCCTGGAGTCAACCTCAGACATGCACAAAGTGGAAAAGCCTGTGGCTTAGTGTGGCAGAGGAGGGAGGTGACAGGGCTTCATGTAGGACCCACCAGAATCTGAGTGTCCCAATAGGTATTTTGAAGCAAGCAGGTTCTGTTCCCTCTGTAATCTCAGCCATCTGTATTCAGTACAGTTCCCACAGCGTCTCCAGGAAGACAGGCTTTAGTTGGCCATGATGGTCACCATTCTAACAATGCATCCTTTATGAGCTGTCCCTCCTTCACGGCTCTAGCCCTGGCTCCCTGGGATCTCCTTCCACCTCAGCAACCTTCAGTCTTATCTCAGGTTCTGTTGCCAGGATCTGTGATAGCATCATTTATTTAGGGGCCAGTGTCATGTCATGATGGTGCTGGGAACCCATCCCACCTACATCCAGGTCCACACTCCACATATACAACACACACACACACACACACACACACACACACACACACACACACATATATGCAACACACACACACACACATATATACAACACACACACACACACACACCCCTCCTTGTGGCTGACTGTAGGGTGACTTTCTCCTAGTGCTCTGCCCTTGTACTAACGTTGGGAGGGCTTTCCCCGGACCCAAGAATGGACAGTTTACGGGGCTCTGCTAATAAAATGCATTGGCTGGAGGCCAAAGTTCTGTCATCTTTTTTCTTGCATTTTATTGGTGATCCTGTTTGGCCACCTTGCAGGTTGTCAGGCTTCCCTGAGTCACCTGATGCCTTTATGTCAAGGCTGAGGCAGAATGCTGTTGAGGCCACACAGAGTGTCTATGGCCACTGAAACCTAAGGGTCTCCTTCTTTTACCCACAAGGACCCAACTCTAGACTGCACCCATTAGCTGTCTTCAGGAAACTCCCAAGATTTCCTTTGGCCACACAGTCTCACCACTTACTGGGAAAGGGTTCTTCAGCAAGCTTCACAACTGCCACTTACCCAACACCCATCCCTGGGAAACTTCCCCCTCACCAACCCGGAAGCCCCCACTCCTCTCAAGTTCTCCCACCCTGGATCACTAAGCCCTGTGGCTTTTCTCTTGGAAACAGCCCTTCCTTGTATCTGCCGGATTCACTGACCCTGTTTAGGGTCTGTGCTTCTTAGCCTGCCCCTCTACACTGGTTCCTGCTGCTTGCTTCTCCCTCTCATGCCCTCTCAGGAACAACCCTGTGGGATCAACTTTTGTGGTCCAGACTGCTGTGAATGGAAGATGCAATCGGGAAAACCAAGGCTTAGGGGTTTCTTAGGAGCCATGGCGGTTCAGCTGGGGATGAACCGTCACCTCCTGCTGGGAATGCTTTGGGCAGAACTGGGGCTAAATTTGTCCCTCAGGCAACAATCAAGGACAAGATCTGCCTCTTTGTAGTATTCAGGAGGTTACTCCAACCATACTCCCTTCCACCTTCAAGACTCAAAGACTGTGATTTAACTACCCCAGGAATCAACATTGGGTTTTTTTCTATGTTTTAATAACCAATAAACTCTGCTTAAGTGAATTGAGTTGGGCTTCTGCCACAATTCATCAGGAGGTTCTCCCGAAGCAGAAGACAGATGTCCTGACCTCTGCAGTGAGACACGCCTGGATGGAGCCCAGGCCAAAAGGTCACCAGGTCCTGTGTTGACTCCTTCTTTTCACTTAAAATTATGACCGCCCTCCTTTATCTTTCTAGCATCCCAGTGCCTCCAGAGTCATGAAACGCGGCTGATTTTCTGCTGTGTCCTTCACTATAGAGAGGAGGATGTGTGCAGTCTTTGGCATCCTTTTGATACCTACCCTGTGCCAGTAAGACTCGAGGACCCAGACCACCCAAAGTTCAGTGGCCGTTGTAGGAGAGCCCAGAGGAAAGGCCAGGACTCAGTCTTGAAGCAAGTGTGACCTGGGTCTCAGGATGCCGGAGGCTGGTCCAGAGAAGAGGTATGGCCTGGGGGCAGTTTAAATGCAGAGGCCTCAGAGACCAGGCTCAGGAGCGCACCACAAGAGCAGTTTTAGCAGGCGGGATTTCCCCCAAGCGAGAGGAGACGAACCATATTGGGGGTCCCGAGCGCACTCCTGGACATTGAGCCTTGATCCCAGGAGCTGGGAGCAGAGGCGCGGCTTGGGCAAGGCGGCGGCATGCGGAGTGGACAGGGAGGGCAGCGGGCAGCGCTGCGTTGCGCGGACTCGGGCGGCTCCACCCGCGCTTCCCTGTGCGTCCGCGAGGGGGCTCTGCGCCGCTCCGGCCGGGCCAGGCGCACAGGCGGGCTGCGCGCGGGATCGCGGCGGGCTGCGAGCGGGCGAGCAGGCAGCGCCCGGTCCACGGTGCAGCGGCTGCGACGGGCGCGGCGGGCGCTGCCGATGGGCCGAGCCCGGGCTGCCGGAGCGCCGGGAGCCGGTGAGTAACGCGCGATCGGGAGACACACCTGCGCTGAGGACAAGGGCGTGCGGGGCGCGGCGAGGTCCGCGCGTGGGGCGCGGCAGCGACGTGGGCGGGGACGGCGGATCAGGCCGCGGGCGGGCACGCGCGGGGTTGACCCGGGGCAAGGTGCGCGCGGGGGACAGTGCGCGTGGCCCGGGCCGCGGCGCGCGTGGCGGGGAGGTGGACGACACGGGGCTGAATGGCGCGGGAGCCTCCCGCCCCCCCATACACGCACACCTCCCTAAGGCGCAGGGCGGGCGCGGGATCCCGGGATGGAGGTGCCCTGCAGCGGCTGGAGGCCGGGGACTCAGCAAAGGGCACGCCCCCAGCCGCTGGAAGGAGACCACCTCCCTTCATCCGCTAGTGGCAGAAAAAGCCAGCCTGGGCCCAGAGTCCCCTCCCACATGGGCCTCAGTTTCCCTGGCTCTGAAACGGGCACAGCTAGGCTGACCTATGATGCGTGTGGGAAGGGTGGGAAGGACCTTGGCCTTGTGGTAATCAGAGGACCAGTGTGCCCATGAGGGTCTGTACGGTCATGGCATCTGCTGGGACTCCATGTGTGTCCCTCAGGCAGTGGCAGAGAGCAGGCTCAAGGATGGAGACAGAGAAGCCCTGGAGAGAAGTGGGTGCTCTGAACGCTGCTGTCTGCTCAGCAGCTTAGATGGTGAGGTGGTGGGGTCCCTTGCACTCCAACTGCCCTCCTGCGGCGAAGGACAGGTAAGGGAGGCTGAGAAGGGTTCTGGGAAGACCCACCTGATGTGCAGGACTGTGTTTCCACTTCACAGTCAAGTAAACAGACTCAGGGGCTCGAGGACTTGCTCTGGCCATGAAGTGACAGAGGCGAGGTTCTAGGCTCCTACCCAGTACTTCAGCCACTTTGTCAGGTGCCCTAAGAATGCTGTGTTTGCTGACCACCTACTGTGTGCTCCTTCTCCTGAGCGTTTTTTCCCTCACTGGTGTGAAGGCAGATAACTACCAAGGGAAAAATCAGAAGCCGTTTCAGAAGATCATCTCTAGAAGGGCAATAAAACTGGGGTAATGGACCGGAGAGAGGCAGGTAGTAGGACAGGGCCTGGGCCTAGCCAGAGAAAGTGCCTGTCCCTGGCTAAAGACCTCTGCTGTAAAATCGAAAGTGGAGCCCAAAGGAAAGGGTTGAACAGGTGTAATGTCCCTGGGGCAAGTACGGGTCATGGGTGGGAAGGGCTTTGAACCGGAGAAGTCAGCAGAACTGAGGCTTGGATGTTCTGAGTGCAGTAGGCAGTCCTCGGGGGTTTGGAGTTTGAGCAGAAAGGCTGAGCAGGAGGCAGAGAGGAAGCAGGGTTAGAGTAGCCAGGCAGAGAGAACGCAGACTGGTCTAAGAGATCAGAGGTGTGGAGATATTTGAGAGGATTGTACCCACCCACCCCTGGCGGCATAGCCCCTCAAAGGCCTTCATGCTGGCAAAACCAGAGCCACAAAGAGGCTTATAGCGAGCTGAGGGGCTCAGGTGGAAAGGGAGCCTGGTTTTAATTCAAGTGCTTTCCCACTCTGGTCCAGCAGGGGGCGCGTGAGTGCGGGCGTGGTTGCAGAAGTCCAGTCCTGGTGTTTGGGCTAAGCCCAACTTCTAGAACCTTCTGACTTATCATCAGGTGTCTCGGAGTGCTGGTCCAGTACTCACATTTGTCCTTAACAAATTGAGTAGGCTGCCTAGAAACCACCATCTAGATTGGGTGTGCCCACGGCTATCCTGGTGTCATTGAATCTAGACTTTGCCAGGGAGCCCCAACCAAATCACCTTGAAAAACAAACTAAAAATCCATATTTTGGTCTCTTTTCTCACAGTGAGAACCTGATTCCCAAATCATCAGTATATTTAATCGTTTGCTAGAAGACACACAGATCGTTTCAGAATGAGATGCATAAACCATTACCCACCCAAAACTACTACCTAAGGTTTCGGATGTCGTTGGGTGTGCACCCAGAGCTCTGTGGGTCGTTTTTCAGTCTGATACAGTTTTGGTTTCATGAGTTTTCAGTTGCATTCAGCATGGTTTTACACATCCTTGGTCTTGCACTTTTATTTTTGAATCAGTAAAATATTTTATGGCTCAAAGGTCACAACTACATAAAAGCTATATTTAGAAGTTATTTAGAAGTACAGCCCATCCCTGTATCTTGTCTCATATCAATGCTATCCATTTTAAACAGTTCCTAGATTACTTGTCTATGTTTCTTTTTATCAAAGAAGCCATTTACACATTATATTAGTATCTGTTGCATGCCTCCCCCTTTGTACTGGGACAAAAATTCCACCTAAAAACCAGCTTTCCCTGTCTATAGAGAGACCTTTCCAGTTCTTTTTCACTACTACATAGTACTCCAGTGTGTGGCTGTATCCTAGTTTATTTTATTTGTGTTCTGTGGGTGGATCTTTGATTTTTATTCCAGGCTTTTGATTTTTTTCCCTCAGTCTTTTTAAAAGTTTTATTTTATATGTGTGTGTCGTGTGTGTGTGTGTGTGTGTGTGTGTACTTATGTGGAGGCCGAAAGATGTGTTGGATTCCTTGAAGTTAAAGTTACAGACATTTGTGAGCTTGTATTTATCTTTAATGAATTAAAATATTTGCTTATTTTATTTTTCTTTATCCAAAGGGAAGGAAAAAATGTATTCAGGATCATGGTACAGGGGAGAGCAGTTGAACAAAACGTCTCCCCTTGCTGTGTTTCCAAGTCTGCCAGGGCTCATTTCATTTCAAAGGTTTCCTAGCTGTTCCGTAGAGTTGGTGATATGTGGGGCTGGATTGGGTTAGTGTGTTCACAGTGTGCACATGTTTCTGTGTGCAGGTGCATAAGTGTGTGCGGGTGTGTAGGCCAAAGGATAACCTTGGGCATTATTCCTTAGGCACCCTCTGTCTTACTGTTCTTGAGACAAACCTAGAGCTTGCCAGTTAGTCTGAGATGTCTGGCCAGCGAGCCCCAAGAATCTGCCTTGATGGTGCCTTCCTAGTACCAAGATGAAAGGTATGTGCCACCCTGTTTTGTTACATACATACATACATACATACATACATACATACATACATACATGGGGGCTCAGGCCACTATGCTTGGCTTTAAGAAACTGAGTTCCAAGGATCAGACTCTCGAGGGTGCATGCACTTGTAAAACAAACGCTTCACCAGCTGGGTTTTCTTCTCAGCCACATTTCTATATTAGCTTCTGGAAAAACCACGTCTTTATGCAGTTGAATCATAGGAATCATAGATGTTTTTCTGTTTCAAGGCCGCTTCCACAGGTAAAGCTGTCCTTGAACGGAGTTTTTACATTTCTTTATCCAGGAGAATTTCACCTGGCTTGTTGTTGTTATAAATATTTCCGCCTTCCATTGTATCTCCTAACTGGTTATTATCACTGCACACGTTATGTTTTTCTACTGTTTTAATTTGTTTGTTTTGTAATTGTTTTGTAGATAGCTTGGGTATCTACTGTATCTACACCTCAACAGTCTCATTTTTCTTTACTAATTTTTAGGTATTTTTTATCTTCATCTAATTAGACAAGCTAAATACTTTCAGTTGGGACTAGAGATATGGCTCAGTGGTTGAGAGTACCTCTGCTCTTCCAGAAGACCCAGGTTCAGTTCCCAGCACCTACAACAGGTGGCTTACAACACCTGTAATTCTAGATCTAGAGGGTCCAATGCCCTCTTCTGACCTGCTCAGTGACCTGTACTCATGTGCATATGCACATACTGACACATCAACAAACAGATAAATCCCCTCACTTCACGATTAAATCTTGGATGCAATGGGCATCTTTACCTTGTCCTAGGGCTAGGAAAGATGCAAACTTTAGTTAGAGGAGACAAAGAGGGAGATATGAAGGAAATGCCTTAGTTCATGTTCTGTTCCTTTATAGAATCCAAAATACTGAGTAAACTGTAAACAGTAACTGTTTATTTGGTTCATAGTCTGAAGGCTACAGAGCCCACAATTAAAGGATTGCGTTTGTAAGAGCCATTGTGCCTGGGAACCCCACAGTGGAAGGAGGAAAGACGAGGGGGGAGGGGCAAGTTGATTTTTCTAATGACCCACTCTAGAGATACCTAACCCAGCCTATGAGAATGACAGTTCATTTGTAAGAGCTGAACACAACGTGTGTTTTGTTTTGTTTTGAAATTGGGTCGCCTACCTCATTTTTGTCTTAAAGATAGGGTCTCACTATGTAACCTTGGCTGGCCTGGGACTCAATCTGTAGACTAAGGTGACCTTAAACTCACAGAGATTCACTTGCTTCTGCCTCCCACATGCTGGGAGTAAAGACATGTGCCACCATGCCTCACCCCCAGGTCCTACCTCTATACAGTACTGAGGGTAAAGTCTCTGACACATGGCCTCTGGGAGACGCTCTGACACAAATCATTCATTCATTCCTCTTTTATCGGAAATGTTCTGTTTTTATTGACGCATGTGTATCCGTGAAGCAGTGTGTTATTTCTCCTTGGCACTGTTAGGACAGTGAGGCACATTCGGGGAGATTCCATAATGCCAGATCTGGGACAAAAGCGAGGTAAATGCAGTTGAATCTTAGTCCTCGGCTGTCCCTGACTTCCTGAAAGCAATCCCATGCGGCCATGATGTATCCTGCTTTTAATGTGGTCATATTGGTTAGCTATTGCTGTGTAACAGCTTGTTGGCAGCGACTGGATTACAGCAGCATATGCTCATGACTGCTCAGAGCTGGCTCATAGCTGGTGCTGGCCAGAGTGGAGGCCCCTGTGACCTACTCACTTCTCCTTAGGAGAAGAATCAACACACAAACTCTGGAAGACACCTTCAGCCTTCAGTGGTCACTCACAGTTTCCAGGGGTCATCTCCAGGTCCTTATCACATGGGAGCCTTCACCATGACCACTTATTCCACTAAGCTAGTGAAGAAAGGTCACAGGGCAACATTCCGACAGAGCAAAACTGGGACATCATGGAACCATGGACACAA